GTTTACTTTTCGAAGGGATTGGAAATGATGTATGTTAAACTGCGCAACGTGCGAGGGTCTGCCTGCATTCGAAGATAATATCACTTTTGGTGGTCGAGAGAACATCATCTAGCATACTTACTTTAAATTCACGTTGCTGGGCCAAAAATAGAATCGAGTCAGTTCCAAGATAGAGTAAACGGCCCATGGGAACATCTAACCGGTGGCAGGATGAGCCAAAGAAATTTGCTGGAATTTGGTGAGCATAAGTCGCGTGAAACAGAAGTCTGTGGCAAAGTCTGGAACAAATTTTCATCCATCTGTGGGTCAAAAACGAACTAATATTTTTGATACTTGAATGTTATGTATCGCTCTAATATGAAGAAATGGAACATACAAATAAATCGTTTCGCTGATATACTAATTCTTTTTTTTGCATAAATTTCGAAGTTTTCAGCCTTAGTTTTATGTGATAAGCTCTTATCTCTAAATAAATAACCAGATAGTTTAAAGCCTCGAAAAATATATATTTGTTAAGTGATGCTTTTGGAACCCATAAACGGTTTTGACTTTAGGTGTAATAGTCACGGATGACAAAGAGCAGCCGGTAAAAATTTATAGCACTGACGCGAAAAAAAGCAACATTATTAATTATTTGCTTAATTATTTTATTAATTGCTGATTTTTTATCTGTATTTGCAATATTTCTTCTGTAAATTATTAATCTGTGCTGAGGAATTAACCCTCTAGTAAGTTTCGAAAGCAACACTTAATAGATATATTTATCTATTGTCAATAAGAGCTCATTTACTTATTTTCGAGCATGGAACTAACCGTTGCAATTTTTTCATGACGGTTCATTGCATGCTTCTTGAAGACTCGTTGGATATCTTAATCATGACTATTGTTTTTTACGTCTCTCTTTGAATTCAGGGAACCCAAATCTTATGAATGGTAGAAATTGGTTTTAGTTATTAAATAATGTATTAACTTCCGGTACTTATGATGAAGTGCTGCACTGTAAAATGCAACGCCTTTAGCTGTTTTAACGCCTACGGTCTTGGTTGTTTCATTTGGGAAGTGTACAACGGGATAGTGCCGTCAATGGAATCGCTTAAAAACCGAAGGTCAGTTCCGGTATCTCTCGCCAACCCATACAAACAACTGGTCAGCGGCAAAATCAACATAGAATACTTCATAGATGACGGCCGCAAGCCAAACGGTTACTTGAACAACAAGCTCATCAACGCTCTTCTGTTTCTGGATGAATTTCAGGTAACATATCTGACAGTGTCATGCCTTCATTTGCGAATGATTTCTTCAAGCAGTTTAAATAAAAATCAACCTGAATTCTAGTTTTCAGCTAGGAACGTCTAACGGAGTAACTAAATAACACTGAGCCGTTTTAGGAATCAGCGGTGAATGATTGAAAGTTGCGAGGATGTTCATATTATGATATGATCAATCTAATAAGTGATAAGAAAATTATTTTATAATTAATTCATGATTTTTTATTGGCACATTTTGCAGGCATTTTTTATCACTACTTTTTTTCCTGACAATAGAACCCAAGAATTCTAAACTGAACATTTCTAGTTTGCAGACATGTGTTCCACTTTAAGAGAATAAAAACGATTTTTTTATGTTGCCGTCTCATACTGTAGTATCATGTTTTACTGTATTTCTCTCTCTGAAGATGGAACCACCATGATTCAATACGTTGGAGAATATGTATATAACAGTTTGATCTGTAGTATCATTCCGCAAAGGACTTTTCAAATTACGTTACGGTTTGTTACGAACCATGTTAAAACTCAGCATCGTGGTTATAATTAATCGTTAATCGGGATCGATAATTTGTGGCATTACTTGCATACGGTTTCTGCATGGCTCTGCTCTTATTGTTGTCTTATTGTGTGCTAAAAATTCGTCAGATGAGACGTAGCGCCATTTTGCAATTGTGCTTGTTGTTAAAAGGATGGGCGTTTCGAAGTTGAGCACAGCTACAGTTTGATAGCACTGAATTGCAATTTCTCACCTCTGCATTCTCTGACCAGGAGGTCACCCACTACGGTTATATCACGTTACCGTATATTTCAGACATAAGTTGTTTCATGATCACCAGCCCTTGTATTGTTGATTTTTTTCCTTGTGAAAGATTTATTGTTTTAGCTTAAAACTCCTTCAGAGCAGAGCCACTTTCTTGGTAACATAGTGCAGTGCATCAACATGTTTCCGAAGAACGTTCAGGTAAACAAGATTCTGCCGCAGCTGGTTCACGCCGTCGAATTTGGCTGTTCGGGCTCCGCGGTTGTATCCGTCCTACTTTCGGTATGTCGTTAGTTGTTCAATTGTGATAGCTTAAAGCTGTCATCATGTTATTTGTCTGACACATCCCTTGTTCATTGTTTATTGATTTTCATTTACACATTCCTCCAGTTACTCCTTCGTTAACTTTTTTGTTTGCTTTGTTTATTCATTGCTTCATTCACGCTTGCTTTCATTCAGCAATTCCTTCGTTCATTTATTTATTGGTTCATTCCTGCTTTCGTTCATGTTCAAAGCTAGCTGTTTTTATTGGGTTTCGGGACACCACGGAATAATAAATGGAATTGGCACAGGTATTCTGTAACTGCATAAAAATCAAATGCTAAACCGGACCTTCAAACAAATTTATCGTTTTCACTCTACAGTAGCAGCCATGAAAGACTAAGGACCTCAAAACTGAAATTAGAAGCACCTTATTTAAATACATTATTTGAATTAATCTGTTTGCATATCACAAACATTATTTTATTCCAAGCGGATTCAGTGTGTATTGTTTGTTTTACGGATACTTTATCCTGGAACTTACTGTGGGGACATGAAACGGCAAGCTATGTTGGATAGATTGGGCCACATAAAACAGACTTGTCATGACTGTTACCTGTACTTCATTAATCTGGCTGAAATGCGGATAAAGTTTCCACTAAGAGAGCATACTACGACTTTTGCTATTGGAAGAGAAAGTCACTCTGCAGTTGTAACGTGCCGTGTAAAACTGCATGCCAACGACAACGGATAATTCGAAGTTTAAGATCGAGGAAATACCATTAACGGGCATTTAATACATTAATCAGTATTCATTAAAGCTTATGGTGCCGATTGTGAAATAAACTGGCAAAAGATTTAAACTTGATGAAATTTGTTCTTATAGAAGTTACCTACATAGCTTCCAAAATTTTTTTCCTTCCATTTTTTCCCCTTTTTCATTTGCCCTCTACTTTTGTGACTTTAAATTGTCTTTGTCCTCCTTTTCATTTTCGTACAAGTTGTGGATGCTGTAAACCGTGCTCGTCATCATCATCAACCTTTTTTTGATTGATTGCTGGTTGGAGGCGTTTTTGAGACTTTGCCACTTACTTCGGTTTGTTGCCATTTTCATCCACTATGATCTCGCAAACTTTTTTAATCCTTCCTGCCATCGACCTGGTGGTCATCCGACAGGCCATTTACTTTTTCTTGGAAGGCAGTCTATTGTTTCTCCGGTATAGCGATGACAAGTTCTTCTTACGAAGTTCTCCTCCCATTGCCATCTCAACTTCTTTACTCAAGCAATGACGCACCATCGTATACTTACCCATTTGTTCTTATTACTAGTGTTTATAATTATTCAAAGCATTCACTTTTCAATTTTGTGCTCTGTAGTCTATTCCTCACCAATAGCATTCAGTCTTATGGTCAGCGTTTCGCGCCCTTGGTTAGCTCTGGAAGTACACACTTATCAACTGTTGTCCGTTTGACACTGTTCCGAATAGGAACATTTTCAGTCTCTCATGCTATTTTTTTTCTTCTGTTGATTTCACTTATCGATTCGTAGAAACCTGCTTGAAAATGATTTGTAACAAACTGTTTGCCATACCTATCGTTGTTTATTCCTGTCATGTTGTGAACGTAGTACCACTCATGTTTAATAAATATTTTGTTGTGGATCATATTTCGTTTATTGCCCTCTTCGTTATTGGTTTCAACCTGGTTAGGAGTTTCAGAATTAAACTGTAGAAAGAGCCTTCATCGGATTCATGTTCTGGGTAACAAAGAGTTATTTCTGAATTTATTGGTGTGTGCGATGACACGCACAAATCACCTGATGTTCTACCCTGGTTATTGTCCGTTTTGGTATTTATGATATAACGTTCCGTGAGAGCCTGATCAATTGGCATTTATGCGTGTTGTCAGTTATTTGGTGATTTTTTAATAGTACTGATTTCACATAAAATTTAGGCGCTATGTTTTCTAGATTGGAGAGCACCTGAACGAAAACGAATATGCTGCTTCGCTGGTGCCGGTCATTCTGATCCTGTTTTCGTCTCAGGATCGCTCCACCAGAGTGAAACTTTTACAGGAGGTATGAATGAGCGTTACGGGAGGTTTTGCAGGTATCTCGTTGACGTCTCTTGTGCTTCCAGTTGGAACATTACGTACAGCACATAAAGTCTGACGTCATCAATGACAAGATGTTCCCGTCTATCGTCACCGGTTTTTTGGACACGAATGCGACCGTCCGCGAAGTGACGGTGAAGGTAATCAAAATTGGCTTAATTAGATAATTTGTTCATTTATTTTTTCCTCTCTAGTCGATTGTCCATATTGCTCCTCGGTTGAACTACAATAACCTGAATATCGAATTGATGCGGCATTTCGCGCGTCTACTAAGCAAAGATGAAGACGGCAGCGTCAGGACGAACACCGTGATTTGCCTCGGGAAGATTGCTTCTTCTCTTCACAATGAGGTATTATGCGCACCTTTATTTAAAATGATCATCATCAGTCAATTATTTTATCGCTTGTATCCGGCTTACGAACAACGAGACCTCTTAGAGCAGAGAAAAACGTCATTATTATAATATATTATAACACGGGCTAACTTGTAATATAGTTATCTTGCAGTGCTAAAAGTACAGTTTCATGGATTGAGCGACTTTGTAAATTTATGGAACACAATGGTCCGTCATACATTCTTCGATTGCAGATGTTTCAGAGCCGTTCATCGATCAGCCTCTGAATCTTTACCCCCTGTCTGTTGGTGCTCGTTTGAAAAGTTTCAGAAACTTTTTTTGCCGATGTTGCATTTACAGATTTTTTATGTTACTGCCGCATCTACTTTCGAACAGCTGTAAGGCAGCGAATTAAAGCAGAAGTTTGTATGTATATTTGTCGAAGAAATGAGGTCTCGAAACCAACTAGTAAAATTCAAAAATGTACAATTTTTTAAAATGTAATTGCTGGAAATATGATAGTCAGTCACAACTATTGAAGCGCCATTGAAGCTTTTTGCGTTGCATTCCACATCAGTGTAGCCAGAAGAAATCGTCATGACCGAATTCAATAAATTTAGACTGTTAACAGTGTGGAAAGTCTGGTTTAGCCATCATAGAGCCAGAACCATTCAAGTTTGTCGCCGGCTATCGACCTTAGAGCCATTTGGCAGCTGATTACAAGGAAGCTCGGTGGTACAAGTTCGTTATTCAAGGAAATTAAAACTTGGTTATAATCCGTGATCCAATTGAAGATTCTATAGATTTTTAGTTATTTATTAATTAGTGTATTATTAGTGTATTATTAGCAATTATTCTATTAAGCTGTTGTGTCTTTCGAACTTATACATCGATTGCGTAAGATTCGAAAGTATATACTTTGTGCATTATTGATCCCCGCCACCGTCTTTAGTATGGTTTTAATTTAGTTTCTCTCGGCTGCCCCAAGGCCATTGATAGAAGGAGTATGATATATGATACGTTAGTTGTTGCATGACGTCATCACCTTGAACCTTTGCATTGACAAAATGTCTCTGGTTTATGATATGCCCTTTATTTGCAGCTTTTCAGCGTTTTTGTCATCTTCACCTTCATCATCCATCACCGCTTCTCCTTTCGGGTCTCGGAGGCAGACACGTCAGACAGAGCTTCCAAAGTTCCCGATCCTGTGCCAGAGTCTAAGCTTCAGCAAAACACAAACTGAGTCTGGAACAGATTCTTTCCATATGTGTTTGCAGCAGGTTAATCTTGGCCGCCCCCTGGGCTTTTTGCCGGTCGGATTTGCAAGGAACAGTTCCATAGCCTTCCTTTCTGGAGGCATTCGCAACACATGCCCAAGCCATCGTAGCTGTAACTTCTCAATCTCGAGAAGCAAAGGCTCTTCCGGATGTCACTATTCCGGACCATGTCGAGACGCGTAAGGCCAGCGACTCGTCTAAAGAAGTCCATTTCAGCAGCTTGTACCCGGGTTCGAAGTTTTTCAGTGATGTCCACGATTCATGACCGTAGGTAAGTATGGGGATAAAGATCGACTTGAATGTCGAGAGCTTAGTTTTCAGACTGAGTTCTGCTTTAGTCACAGTGGGTTGGGCTAGTTCACGCAGAACGCCACTGGCTACTCCAATTCGGCGGTAGATCTCTTCCTCATATTTTCCATCAGTAGCAAATGCAATTCTGAGGTATTTGAACTTCTCCATTGCTCCACTGCCTCTCCATTAATCTGAAGGGAGCAGCGGGCTGGAGAACGAGAAAGCACTAGGCTTTTCGTTTTAGATGCTTTCACACACATGACGGTCACGTCGCACTCGGTTGCGAACCTTTCTAAGGAGCACTGCAGATCAGTTTTAAGAGATGCTAATAAAACAGGGTCGTCTGCAAG